CGATTTTCCTTCCCTAGAGGGATAATCATTCCAATATTTAATCATTATCCCTAAAGGACTGTCCTGTGGAATGTTTGGCAGTCTTGCAACAGGCTCGTTCTTAACATAGCTCTCCCCTTGGGAGGTATCATGGGACTTCTCCTTGAAACTGTTCATCCTAGTCTTAACTTTAAGTTCCTCCTCATTTTGAGGGATGTCTTGCTGTATCTTACGACCACCCATGGGAACAGAAAATTTACGTTTCTTCTGTCCCATCTTCTGAAATGCCTTCTCTCACGCACGCACGCACACACACACTCGCTTCCCTTCTTTCGTGGCCCGGTCCCTCGCGGGATTCGGAAACTGCACTACCAGAAGGTCCGCACTCGCCTCGTCCGACGGACGTCTCAGTTATTCGCGTTTCAGGATCCCCTTCCCCACCGAAAAGGGATTTCGCAAAATACTTACCTCTCCCTGGGTAAGTCTTCGTTTAGCTCCTCGCTAAACGGTCCTTTCCCCAACCAGACGGAACTCTCTAATTCACTCACTCTGCTGAGTAAGTCTTCGCTCGGCTTCAAACTGAGCGACCCCACCCGACTCCGAGTCGGGCGGGGTCCCCTAATCAACTCGCTCTTTCCCCGAGCAAGTCTTCGCCTGGATTTCGTGCACGAAAAATTACGGGGAACCGTGGTAGTTTATTTGCTTATCTGCCTTCGAAATCTCGGTCGGATATTGGGAATCTGTACCGCTGGAGTCCCTCTGGAGCCGTCCAATAAGAACGGGGGCGCCCTCCCGGAGGGAAAATCCTGCTGCACAGGGATCCCAATCCGAGTCACGGCACCAAATTGTTATAGTCAAAAATGACAAAGGATAATTTTAAAAATTATAAAATAGATATATTGAAGGCAGGTAGACAAAACAGTGCGCTGGGCGACCGAAGGAAACTCTTTTCCTCACCAGTCTGCAACGTGACAGACCAACAGTCAATCTTTTATACTCCCCTCTTTTCTCCACCCCTCAAGTTTCTGTCGATTATTTTATTGGAGTTCATTTCACGGGCTTTTCCAACATTGGCCCTTGCTTCGCGGGCTTTTCCAATATTGGTCCTTGCTTTTGCGGGCTCCATCTCGCCATCTGAGTTCAGTCAATGAACTGGTTAAACCGTAGTCCTCAGAGGCTGCCTCGTGGAAATTTCCAGATGGGGGGGGAGCGAGTCCTTTCTCCTTAGCTCCTGCCACCATCTCCATTTTCCTCTACTATGAATATGCCCAAAGTGGAAACTCGTGGAACACAAGACATACAAATTCATGACAATTACACAATTAACCATACAATCATTACAATACTGTAACTTTCCCATTTGTAATTGCCCACTTCATAACAGAGAATGCCCTAGTGAGCACAGCCCTTGCCTGGCTCATTGTAACAAGCATAAGTAAACTTTAACTCCCTGATTTGATGAGCATATTACACTCTTTGCTCAGTATTACCTATTACAGGGCTGTCATCATAAAAGAGATGTTCTCATAAATGCCATAAACCTAATAAAGGCTCTGCCCTCATAAACACCATAAATGTCATAAAAGCACTGTCC